CTCATCCATGCCATCGGCCATCTTGTCCAGCGCAATCTCCTCCAGCAGCAGCGCCTTTACGCGCTTCGCCGATGCCAACATCAGGTGATTGCTTGGCACCAGATTCTTCATTATGTTCACAGCCTTGTCCACGTGATCCTGGGCACAGCTAAAGTCACCCGTGCTGTACTCGTGCACATAGTAGGCATAGGACAAGTCCTCGTGGGCAATGGCCACGTGGAAGTTCATGTTGCCAAAGATGCCGCGACGCACGGCCAGCGCTTCCTTGTACACGTTGACCGACTGGAACACAGAGTCCACGTTGAGTAGGAAAAATCCGTAGTCCAGCAAGGCATCGCCGTACTTTTGATGCGTAAGTCCAAAATGTTCGCTGTGGGGAAGAAATGTGAAATATTTGGCTTGTCAACATTTATATATAAAGATTGTTTGCTTATCTATGGATACAGTAAGCCTATTTAAGGGCAATTAGAGCTTTAATATCTCGGTATAAACGATAGAAACATTTTTGTGACCTCAGTAATGCGGTTTGTGATCAGTCTAAAATCATTTCTTAGTGAAAAAGCAAGAGTTAATCAAAGAATGGTTGACTTTTTGCCCGACAATCAGCGAAAAGAGAGAGAAGGGCGAAGAGGTGCCAAATGGACATTTGTGCTTACCGAGCGCGACGCACCGCCTGGCAGATGAGCAGATTGGCCCGTGCAAAGTCCCTCTTGACGACACAGGCCTTGGCCGCCTGGCGCAGAACATCGATGATGATACTGGGGATTAAGGAAGAGATCAGTAAGATTTAGGCTAGAGGAAGAGGGAAAGGGACAGAAACTCACCGCGGTGGCGCAGATCCCCTCAGGTGTTGCATGGCCAGACCGCTCCATATATGGCTGTAGTTGTACTCGTTGCGGGCAAAGTACATGGCCGAAATCTGGGTGTAGGCTATGGCCACCAGCTGGCCAGGCACACGGCTATGGATCGATTTGTTCAGGCCGACCAGTTCGTCATAGGTGCGCTGGGCCAGCTTGAAGTTGCAATGCGCCGATTCTGCGTATAGGAGGCTTTAAAAATAGATAGCATTGATTAGTTGGCGTATAAGCTTGAAAGATATTAAAATATGCTTAAATTTGTATATTGCTGTTAGTCAAATTTCGATAAGTGGGTCAAAGTTGGGGTTCGGAAATGGAAGTCTATTGATTCAATAAATTACCGCTGCAGGCAGTCGAGACGCATCTCCAGCCAGTGTTTGTGGGGCGGCAGGTGCTTCAGTCTTCCATTGAGGCATGCCAGAACAGTAATGCTCTCCTGCATCCACCCGGCCTCCGAAAGGAACGATCCGAGGCGCAGGCCCAGGTCGATGGCCCGCAACTCCTCGGCGGGCAGCTCCTCGACGGCAGCCTTGTTATACAGCGTGAGTTCGGCCAGGGATGGCACAGGGGATTGGGGTTCCTGTATGGACATGCATGGGGGACGGCGCTCGAAAGAACTGGAACTGGGACTTATGCTGGCGCCCGTCTGTAAATCATAGATAAGCAGCTGGTCGAGATCCGAGGAGCGGTTCTCCAATGCTGCCTGATCCTGGCTGATCTTGTCCGTCTTCAACAGTGGCAGTTCCTCTTCCTCCTGTCCGGGGACTCCATAGCGCGACACATAGTTTTCGCTAAGGCGGCTGGCCAGCATCTTTTTGCTGGCCATTAGTGAGGCCATTATGCGCAGCAACTTGCTGCGGGCAGCAGAGTAGCGAACGAGTCGCGAGAACACCTCCAGCTGGACCAGCTCCTCCAGCAGCGTGTCCTTCAAGGACTCCTGCTGCGACATCTGTGGATGAAAAAACAGAGATTATTAATTGGGCATTAAGGTAAAAGCCAGTGGGGACTGTGTATGATTAGCAGCAGGGAAGCCGCCAACTAAGGTCAAATAAAATGCCTTTAATAACTTCAAAAGGGGTATATTCAATGGAAGTGATATTTTACTTCAAGTAAAAGCTGCTAGTTAAGAGTGGCTTACTTAAAACATTAAAAACCAAGATGATAATAGAACATCGATAGTCCTAATTCAAAAACAAAACGATCTTAGTATTGGAATGGCAAATGGCTCGCTAGCAAGAAGTGCAGCCAGCAAGAGGAGAAAAAGACATCCAATCAGCGGACAATGGAATTTGCTTAGCCATTATCAGCAAGTTCAATGGCTCTTCGGCCAGCAGCTGCGCCATATAAGCAAGGCCCATGCTTCACTGCATCCCCCATCCCAGTAAGAGCCGCGCAATTTCCGAGCAGGACAATCAAAGGGCGCTGGACTCATCCGACTGGTTGGTTTATTTTTAGAACCCCCCTTCTGCCCTGGCATGACGCTTCTGTTTATAAATTACATTGTAATTGCCACTTATTATGACAATCCATGTATGGAATCGAAACCTCTGGCTGACCAACTATGTATGCTCGAAACCACCTGTGGGTCTGTTGGCTTGGGTTTCATTCCTCCAAACGAAATCCATCTGAAGGCATGCACCTCCAGTTGGTGGGGCCCAAGTGAAACTAATCCCTCGATGGCGATTTTCAAGTTGTAAATAAATAAACAGTAACTTTTAGTTCCGGAATTTGAAGGTTATTTTTCGATCAGTTGTGTGTTCAATCAAAATAAACAAAGGCTTCATTTGATGGACTTCAGTGGGATAATTATCTCACAAAAAATAAGAAACATTTTAAACGATTGCGAAACATGTCCACAAAAATTGAATGCATTTCTGGGAATGATGTCCATAAATTTGGGCCTATCAGACATGATCGTTTTGAGATTCCATGAGTGTTAATCTGCAATTTTCCCGGTGTCATTCCGCGAAGGTCTCTCTTTCTAGGGTTAATGGGCCCACTGGCGGGGTGTAAACAAATTAAGCGGAAAAGCAAACACAAACAGACAAGTGCCATACCCCCCTCAATCCCTGATAATGGGTATGAGAGAATGGTAATTGCCAGTGGCGAAATACGGACGGGGAGTTGAGATAAGCAGCGGTCCGGCCAGTGCTGTAATCGCCAAGATCGTCAATGGAAAGGGTAATACTTTCTTTGGGATAACTACATCTTAATAGGAGACATACTTTGTCAGGTATAGGTAGGTTTGTAGCAATCAATAATCATTCTTCCAAGAATTCAGGTTCTAGATAAAAATTTCTGATATGATTCTTAACTGTTTCATAATTCTAATAGGAACTTTTGTAAATTACATTGCAAGTGAGATGTTCCTCACACTTTGTAAACAGTGAATAGAGTAGTATTATGTACAACACATTTATAGCCTGTGTGAAAAATAGTATTGCTTACAACACACAATTCCAAGAACTAGAGCATAAACACATGTTAATAATTCGATTTTAGGAACGTAATTCATAATACTAACATCACAAATGGGAAAGCAACATCATAAATAGGAAAGCTTTAAGAAATTATATTATTTTAAGGACCGTTAATCATAATACCAACATCACAAATGGGAAAGCTCAAGGCTTCAACCATCTATAGAAGATAGAACCAGCCGAGTATTTGCTTAAGCAAGGTATTTCCCCCCACTGGCTGCGAACGATTACTGGTTATGATAATGGGTTCGGATCTTTCGGGAAAGATGGAGAACGGGGGGATGGTGGTGGTGAGCGAGAACAACACCATAACACTCACCATTTCGTAGACATCGATGAGCAGGTTGCGCGGCAGCTCCGCCAGGCGGCTGATCCTGTCCAGCGCCGGGACCTTGGTGTTCATACTCCCGATGAGGCACTGCAGCGAGAGGTCGTATAGGGTCTTCGGGGAGTTGGGGCTTGCATTTGGATTTAGATTTAGGGCCGCGAGCTGTTGGCCAGCCATCTCGCTCTATTGCTTTTTCTTCTACTTCCTGAACTTAAGCGCTTCTTCGTTTATCGATGGTAACCTCTTTGGGGGGCGGGGACTCGCGGGAGGCGTGGCACTCTGCAACAAGTTTGAATTTGTTCGAAATTCGAAGGAAAAATGCATTCGCACACGTGCCGCTTTTCTCAGAAGATCGCGACAAAGAAAAAGCAATGGACAAGCACAAGCATGTCAAAGGCGGCCGCAAAGAGATCTGGTTTTTTCGAGTGTGTTTCGCACTTCACTTCACTTTCTTTTGAGGCGTTCTTCGGTTTTCGTTTTTCTGTTTTCGGTTTTCGGTTTTCCTTTCTCTGCCAGCGCCGCTGCCCGCGTGCTGCCTTGCTTTTGCCTTTGCTTTTGCTTTTCGCTGCTTTGCCTTTGATTTTGCTTTGTCGCTGCTGCGATTGTTTTGCTTTCGCTCGAATTCGAGTGGTTTTTTTTTTGGCACTTACACAACTGGGAACACATCTAATTGTCGGGGCCCCACAGCTAAAGTCGAATTCCTGGCCCACGGGTTATGCGTAGGGAATTGGGAAATCGAGATGGAAATTGTATTGTGTTTCTTTGCTCCAGCACTTTTTTCTCTTTATTTTCATCAGTGTGACCGCGCCGGGGAGAAATACCAAAATACCTCAAAATAATACCAATTTACTGTAGTTTCAAGAAATACCATTACGATACCTTTATTTTTTTATTCATTATTTTATTAAAACAAGTTAATGAATACAAATTAAATGTCTTATATTAAAAACATTACTACCTCTATATTATAACTAATAATAAATATTAGTATTTATTGTTGGTTAATTTAATTTAAATTTATAGTAAGGTAAGAGAAACTTGAGAAACACAGGGAATATTTAGCAGAGTTGCCATGCTTTTTAAATGGCAAAATATGGACAACAATGAATTGCAGAAACAAGTGACAATTTAGTTTTTTTTAAACAAACGCCTTGCATACAACTGAAAACCAGGCTATCCAGCAACGCATAAGTTTTGGGAATACCCTAAAAGTTTTTTTTATAATATTTAAATATACCGGAAGAAGAAAAATACCAAAGGCATATTTTACTGGCGGTTACATGCCAACTTATTTAAAAATTTTAATTCTGATGCATTGGAGATGGTGTGAAATTGATTTTATTGAATATTAAAATTTGTTTATAACTAGATCTTGGTGAAATCATCTAAGATGGTGATTGGTCGGTGAAGAAGGGCTGGAATACCTGCACCGAACACTTGATCTTCCTTCCTAGCTTCTTTTTATCAGACCATCTACCCCTCTCCTCGTCAAAAGAGATCGATGGAGTCGTCCTCGATCTCCACCAGGGCAAAGTCGGAGGTGCTGCCGAACATCCACCAGTGGCGCAGGATGTTCCGGATGAGCAGGCAACGCGTGGTGACGAACTCGAAGAAGTGGAAGAACAGGGCACTGGAGGTGAGCAGGGCGCAGGAGGCGACAAACACCTCCTGGACGGTGAGCTGCTCGGTGCTGCCCTGGTTGAGGTTATCCATGCACTGCAGAACCTACACAAAAGCCATTAAGGTTGTATACAAATTCCGTCTAAATCTGGCCAAATCTCACCTGCTGCAGAATGATGTGGGCCAGTGGCATCAGTGAGGCGCTAAACAGAAGGTGCTTAACAATCAGGCCGCAACAGGGACCGAAGGTCCGCACCATCTGCTTCAGGCTGACCCGCTCCTCCGAGATGTTGAAGACCGCATTGCAGATTTCGCAGCGATTATCCCGCCGGTGCATGATCCAGCGTTTCAGGCACTTGAGGTGGATGAAGCCCTGCAAAGTTCACCTAGATGCCGTAAGCCACCCTATTAAAATCTTAAGATATCTTCAGCTCAAGGATTCCCTTTCACACTTTCCACGAACATTCGGAATCTGAAGAATTCACATTTACGTGATTTTCTATTTATAGGGTTTATCGAGGATGGAAATATTTCCATAGCGGGATCTACACAAGTTTTTCGTGAACGCCGAAGAGGACTCCCCGAACCGGATATCCTTATCAGGGGTGGCTGGATAACTCCCACTTACCACGCTGCCCTTGCAATTGCACGGACATTTGATGATCTCCATGTCGCTGCGGTTCCAGCGGCAAATGCGGCACGAGTTGCCATTCTCGTTCGCCGAATGGACGCTCTCCTGTGAAGGACGTCGGGTTATCGGTGGAAGCATCCGCTGTCGAGCCGAGGATATTTCAAGGGCGGCCATTGAGGCGGTGAGCGTGTCATTGGCCAGCGGAACAGCCGCCGGATTAGCGGCAGCCAATGCCATTTCCGGAGAGCAGTTAACATCCGCTTGTGCCGTCGAAGGCGGCTGGACGGCAAGGGGCGTGGCACTGCCGGTGGCCACCAAACCATTTATCAGGCGGACGGTGGTTGCCTCCGAAAGAACGTGCTGATGATACGACATGTTGCTCAGGTACACAGATGGAGATGTTGCTGCTTGCTAAACTGCTTGGCGGTATTGGCGTGTGTTCTTGAGTGCGTTACGAACCAAATTTTGATAAACAAATTTCTACACCGAATTTTCCTGCGACATCTTACATACAACTTGAACGTTAGACTTTCACCGAGTTATGGAACACATTGACGAAAAACAAAAGGCATACTGAATATTATAAAACCTTGCAGAAGGTGATTTCAGTCAGAAGTTCGCAACGCAGTGATTGAATGGATTGAATTGACATTCAAGCCTAGAAATGTTCTATTTTTCCCACTCTTCGCAAATAAAAAAATGAAAAAATCGGTCAAAAAATTAATTTCCCGGAAAGTGATGGGGATTGTTAGCATAGGTTGTCAGCTGCTCAAAACAGTAGGTCTCTTAGCTCTACGCCTTAATTTGGCCAAACTACGATGGAAAGACTGCAAAAAAATGTGTCTTTCTTGACTAAAGTCCAATTCCCTATTTTCAGCCAAAAAAAATCATTCTTTTGGCTGGCATAATGCAACCACTAATCCGAATGAGGAATGTTATACCTCGTTGAGCTCGTAATTCAAATTCCAATCGACTGGCATTTAAACTTAGAAATTTTTTGTTTTTCCCATTTTTCCCAAAAGTAGATGATGTAACCCCTTACAAAAAATGCGAAAATTGGCCAAAAAATAAATTTCCCTTAAAGTGATAGTGATCGTTAGCATATCTAGCAAGCTGCTCAAAACAGTCGGTCTTTTAGCTGTACGCCTTGATTTGGCTAAACTACGATTGAAAAACCGAAAAAAAATTTCGCATTTTTGACAAAAATCTGAATCTCCATTTTTCACAAAAATTTTAACCCTATTTTTTGCCATAAAAACTCAGTTTTGTATGCTGCCAAAATAAAAATAAAAGTCAGAACGAGGAATGTCATATATCGTTGAGCTCGTTGTTTAATTTCCAATCGATTGACATTCAAACCTGGAAATTTTTTATTTTTTCCATTTTTCGCAAAAATAGATGATGTAACCCCTTAAAAAAAATGCGAAAATTGGCCAAAAAATAAATTTATCTTAAAGTGATAGTGATTGTTAGCATATCTAGCAAGCTGCTCAAAACAGTCGGTCTTTTAGCTGTACGCCTTGATTTGGCTAAACTACGATTGAAAAACCGAAAAAAAAGATCGCGTTTTTGACAAATATCTGAATACCGAATTTTTTCAAAAATTTTATACCTATTTTTTGCCATAAAAATTCAGTTTTTTGGCTGCCATAATAAAAATATAAGTCAGAATGAGGAATGTCATATCTCGTTGAGCTCGTTGTTTAATTTCCAATCGATTGACATTCAAACCTGGAAATTTTTTATGTTTTCCATTTTTTGCAAAAATAGATGATGTAACCCCTTACAAAAAATGAAAAAATCGGACAAAAAATTAATTTCCCAGAAAGTGATGGGGATCGTTAGTATAGGTAACAAGCTGTTCAAAACTGCCGGTCTTTAAGCTGTACGCCTTGATTTGGCTAAACTACGATTGAAAACCCGAAAAAAAATTCGCATTTTTGACAAAAATCTGAATCTCCATTTTTCACATCAATTTTAACCCTATTTTTTGCCATAAAAACTCAGTTTTTTGGCTGCCAAAATAAAAATAAAAGTCAGAACTAGGAATGTCATACCTCGTTGAGCTCGTTGTTTAATTTCCAATCCACTGCCACACAAACCTAAAAATTCTTCATTTTTGCCATTTTTTCGCAAAAATAGATGATGTTACCCCTTACAAAAAATTAAGAAATTGGTCAAAAAATAAATTTTCTTAAAAATGATGAGAATCGTTAGCATATTAAGCAAGCTGCTCAAATTAGTCGGTCTTTTAGCTGTACGCCTTGATCTGGCTGAACTACGATGGAAAAACCGAAAAAAAATTTCGAATTTTTGGCAAAAATCTGAATTTTGTATTTTTGACAAAAATTTGAACCCTTTTTTTTGACATAAAAATTCAGTTTTTTGGCTGCCAAAACAAACGTATAAGTCAGAAGAAGGAATTTCATACCTCGCTGAGCTCGTTGCTTAATTTCCAATCGATTGGCACTCTAACCTGAAAATTTTTCATTTTTCGCCATTTTTCGAAAAAAAGTGATGCAACCCCTACAAAAAATGCGAAAATTGGCCAAAAAATAAATTTTCCTTAAAGTGATAGTGATCGTTAACATATCTAGCAAGCTGCTCAAAACAGTCGGTCTTTTAGCTGTACGCCTTGATTTGGCTAAACTACGATTAAAAAACCGAAAAAAAAATTCGCATTTTTTTTTACAAAAATCGGAATCTTGCATTTTTTACAAAAATTTAAACCACATTTTTTTGCCATAAAAATTCAGTTTTTTGGCTGTCAAAATATAAATAAAAGTCAGAATGAGGAATGCCATACCTCGTTGAGCTTGTTATTTCAATTCCAACACATTGGCATTCAAACCTGGAAATTTTTAAATTTTGACATTTTTTTCAAAAAAACATGATGTAACCCCTTACAAAAAATGAAAAAATCGGTCAAAAAATTAATTTCCCAGAAAGTGATGGGGATTGTTAGCATAGGTTGTCAGCTGCTCAAAACGGTAGGTCTCTTAGCTGTACGCCTTAGTTTGGCCAAACTACGATGGAAAAACAGCTAAAGAGGTGTACTTTTGGGGGAAATCGAAATCTGTGTTTAATTTTTTCTGCGTCCTTATTTTCAGCCATAAAAACTTCCTTTCTTGTTTTTGTTTAATCTGTGTGAAAGTCATTTCTATAATTTTTTGCGTCCATTTCCGTTTACCCCCCCAAAAAAACACACTTTGGTTGGGTTTCATTTGCTTTTTTTGATTTCTTTGCGGCCTTTTCAATGCCATCGGTTAGTAAATGTTTCGTTCTCGTTACACGTACGTACATAGAATATATGTTTAATATTACAGTAATTCATCAATGTGAGCGACGGCATCGAGACGTATCTTTTATACTTTATATCCATTGTCGATGACCGCCAGCACGGGTTAGTAGCTGCACTGCTTCTTCTCTCCGCAATTAAAATTATGACAAAAAAATATATAAATCAACAATTATTTGCATAGTTTCTGCTTCAAGTTCGATAACAAATAATAATGCGTAATCGTAATAATAGTAAAAAAGGGTAAAACAAACACAAAAAACGTACAAAGAGTCGGCTGTTCACGTTCGACGAGCCATTTGCGCTTCGGTTGAAGAATATACATATGCCGATTATACAGTTAGATATTCGCAGGATGAAGGGTCTTCAGAGTTATAATAGATTATGGGACATATGGGGGAAACATGGGAGGGTAGCAGGATTGTAGGGTCGCGTGTCTTAACACAAAATGCCAAAGGGGGGGTGTGTGGTGTATGCTTAAAATTTAATGAGTTGCTGCTGTTGCTGTTGAGTTGACTTGGATTTGGATCTGGATTTGGACTATTCTGCTGCTGCTGCCACTGCTTTCGATGGATTCACTGGCAGTTTCGGAATCGGCGATATATGCTCTGCACGTAGACGAACACGCACTTCCAGTCGGGGCGACTCATCTCCACCATGTCCTCCACATCCAGCAGTGGTGCAATGCCAGCCTTCTCACTGCGGAAACACAAATAGATAAGTTAGATATCACATAAAAAATGTAGCCCTTGGAAGCTAATTCGGTTTCAAATATTTCTTGGAATTTTTTTTTAGAAGAATTTATGTATTTTAAAATACCAAAAAATCGTATATTTTTTATTTTTACCAAAATGACTTTAAATTGTGCGGCTCTTTTAATATTATATAGATTGTTAAAGAATTTTTCTATATGTTGTATTAATGTATATTTCTCAAAAACGGCTCGCTTCATTTAAAATGCATTTTCCTGCAAATCTGTAGCATACAATTGAGGGCGTCCCACGGTGCGTATACTTACTCAGCAACGCTGAAGGCCAGCTCGAAGTTGTGTCGTCGGGTCTGCTTGGTTAGTGTGGTGTAGTCAAATGCATCTGGCAAGAAATGGTGTATCAGCGCACAAAAGGCCAAGCCGTCTGACCAGCTCGAGCTAAAGTTGCTTATTTGGACGTTCTGCGAAACAATACACACATACACATCATTTACATTCGGTGATCGGTTGTGATCAGTAATGATCGAGCGCTTTCTTTTTGAGATGGTTGGCTGATACTGGGGTTTCATTTTATTATTTTATTCACTTTTTTGATGGCCCTTGAGCAAAAGCAAAAGCATTTAGTTTGAGTTTCCAGCCTCCATTACTAAACTAAGAGACTAACTAAAACTAGGGTCAACTAGATCGAAACAATAACAACAACAGCGGCGATAACTCTAGCGATTAAGCGAAATTGATAATGAAACGATAAGCGGTGATCGATAAGAATCGGCAGCAAAAGCGATAAGCCGGAAACGGAAATGGCATCCATCTTTCTATTTCCTACTTTCTCATTCGTGCATTGTGTTCGTGTGCAAGTGTGAGCGTGTGTGTGTGTGTTTATGTATGAGTATTGGAGGAAGCTTTCAAGCTCAGCCAAAGTTAGACGCTGTTAGATGTTTTTGCTTTTGTTTATTTTGTTTGTTGCTAGGTTTGTTTTTGATTTGTCGTTAGATTGCTTGTTAAATATGGCAAAAACTAAAATAATAACATCGGAGCGAACGGCAAAACTAAAGAAACGGTATTAAACTAGGCCTTCCGGCAGTTGAGGTCAAAATAAGGCTTGTGTTTCTATTGGGTATCGATTAAACCAAATAATAAAATAAGCTTTACTTTAATTACTCTTTTCACGCTTAAACAGATTTAATGAAACTAATCACATTTAGAAAATATAAAAATCAAAAATTTTATCAAATCGATCAATCTATTGTTTTCGATTATTTCGATAACAAGAAGAAGCTCAAGTAACTCGGTATATGTGTTCAATTTGCTCAAAATCGTTTTATTTTGACCTCAAATGCCATTAATAATTAACAAACAAGGGCAAGGGTAACAAATATTGGGCTGTGGCTTCGGCATTTCATTTATATTTTAAGGGCTCGCTTGGTTTTGGTTTTTGTTTGTTTTTTGGTTTAGGTTTTGGATACCTCATATTCCTGCGTTTTATGCTGACACCACTGCAGAAGTTGATCCTTGACAGTGGCGGCGCGCGCATTTAATGCCGGATCGGTAAATTTGAACAACGGTTGTGCCGAACCGCCGGGGGTCGTGGGTGTGCTTGTTGTTGGAGATGATCTGAACAAATGAGTCAAGGTTGGAGGATTGCAGACGTTTTAGCGAAA